GGGATTTCGCTCGCGGAGTCTCCGGTAGCGCAGCTCCCACTGCGGCAGAGCGGGACAGGGGGGATGAATAACCCATTGCGAAGGGAATGACCTCTCGTCCTGCCCCCCGGTGCGGCGCAGGGGGGGCTGCCCACCGTCTCCCGGGGTTCTTTCCTCTCCCCCAAGAGGCGGCCGTCCCCGCAGGGCACCGGTTCACAGCGGGAGGAACCTTGGCCGGGAGCTCCCAGCTCCTTCGGAAAAGCACGGGATGCGCAGCAGTTCACAGAGAACGTTCAAACCTTTCCCAACGTGACAGACAGCGGTCAAACCTTTTCCAGCCGGGGTGCAGACGAGCCTCCCCCTTCACCTGCCAAGATCCCAGCTCAGCCTTTTCCCTTTCCCTCGTAGGAGCAGCTGGCACAAGGAGCCAACACAGCAGGAAGCACGATTCCCTCAACTACTTTAAGTGTTAGTGACGCATACGTCCTAATCAGGAGTTGGCATCTTTAACGTTCTTTGTATTTATTTTAAGAAAGCGTTTCAGTTAATCTAAGCGAGAATATGCAAAAGCTACCGCGAAGAAAAGACGTTCTTGTTTCGGCTCAAAACTTCTCAGAACAGGCAAACGCTTCGCCAGCTCAGCCAGCGCCCGCTCACGCGGCCGAGCGACCCGGCGTGGAGGACTACACCGAAACAAAAAGCTCCTAAAGAGACCTCCCGTGTCGAAGACGAGCGCCGCGGCGGTACCGCCGAGAAGGCAAGGCTGGAAAAGCAGGCGGTGGGGCAGAGCAGCCCGGCTCCAGGCGGTTCCTGCACGGTTCTTTGTTGTCCTTCAACAGGGCGGGCACGGGACGGCCACGAAGGGGTGCACGAGGGGTGAGGTTGAGTAAAAAGAGCGAGTTTAGGAACTCCTCTGCGACGGCGCCGAGGCCGGCCAGGCAGCCGAGGGCACCTCAGCCCGGTTTCCACCTGCGCTACTCGCTGCAGGGAAGAATGCAAATAGAAAAACACCGAAGGGTTGCATAAAAAATAGATCTTTTGTGTAGTTCTCCTCTTAAAATTACTGTACAAATAAATAAAGTTATTGTCCACTTAAATATAACCATTCGGAAGCCGGCGACGGTCTCCTGAGGGAGCCCCTCGTTCCGCAGAGCTGTCGAGGCCTCCGGAGAGCAGCGGGACACCGGGACCTGCAAAGGAAAGGCGCCCAAGTTGCAGAAGAAAACACCACTCGGCGGGAGCGCTGGGCCCTGGCCCACCGGTCGGCCTCGGGGACCCCACCGGTCGGCCTCGGGGACCCCACAGGCACACGTCCACTTGGGGAGGAGCGCGAGGTGGGGACAGGCTCAGGCTTTCCTCGGCAAAAATCCCAGCTCCGAGCGATGTTTAACTTCAGGACTTCCGGAATCACCGCTCCTACCCGTATCCTCGTCTTTAAACTCATGGAAGAGAACTCATTTCGATGTTTTTTCACTCTATTCTGAGGAGGTTCAGCGTTTGGCTGCAGAGTTTGTTGCCCCACGACACCAAAGCGCTCTGGCAAACCCCCAAAAGTACCTCCCGCTCGCTTCGAACTCGCTGCGGGAGAGTTTCTGCTGGAGCACCTCCACCCAGCATCGCCCTTTTCCGCCTCCGCGCTGAGCTCAGAGGAGGGAAGTGGGAGTGGGATACAAAAGGGGTCCATTTCTGGACCACAGGTGTGGAAGAGAGCCCCGTGTCCGAAAGGCGAGTCGGTTTTGCCGTCGGTCCACGCCGCCACAGCAGCCGACAGCGGGGGGCCGGCGCGCAGCGCTGCGCCACCAGCCGTTGCCGCATCGACTCCGATTCCACCCCAAAAGCGAGCGCAGAAGGTGCTCAGCGACCTTCCTACCGAGGGGACAAGGGAATAACTGAAGAGGCCTCAGGCAGATGGGGGTTTTGGGGGATATGTCCTGGCGTTTTCCCGCTGAACCCAGTCTGCAAACCTCCCTGCCGGTATGGTTTCGTAAGGAAAAAGGGAATTCAGCAGCAGGAAGCCTGGCGCTGGGCTGCTAGAGCCTTTTTTTTTTCCCCCCTCTTTCTCCTCACAAATTCCTCCACAAGCAGGCTAACCTGCCAACTAGTGGCACCGCCGCGATTACAGTACATCAGGCCTCCCGTCTCGGGTGGGAGGCCCCAGAACTGCAGATCCTGCCAGGCTGATGGAGGCGTTTTCAGCGATAAAACTCCTTTTTTTTTTTTTTTTTCCTAGGTAAAATGCAGCGTTGGTCTGGTCCGCTGGGATTTCAGGGAAGAGTTTGGTGTGGAACCACTTAAGAAAGTGTCAGACGGGCAGGAGAAGGCTGGGGTTAGTGAAAGGGAAGGTGTAACGGAGTTGTCCTGTCCCACGGGAGAACTGAAACGGGGAATCTGGAGCTGGAGAGGCCAGAGGAGAGTTTAATCAGGATTGGCACCGGCACCGGGCTCGGTTAATGAACGTTTTCACTAGCAACGGCCTTGGCACAGCGAGAAGTGCCCTGAGGACACAGAGCTGGAGGTGCTGTGGTCCTGAAAAAGGGCGAGGAAATCTTCAGGGTTGTTCTGAAAAGTCGGGAAGATAAAAGGTCAGGTCACATGAAAGCGACAGCCGTAACCCAGGACGCCGTGGGCTTGAAGCCACTCGAGTCAAAAAAGGGCTTTAGGACACGAAGCAATGACCAGAGGAGATCTAGGTATGAAAGGGGAGAGATGCCACCCCGGGGCGCAGCAGGAGGAGTATTTCCAGGCTCGACAGCGAGTGCTTGTGCTTTACAAAGGACCCCAAGGGACTCGTCTAAAGCAAGCGCAGGAGTTACTCCTAGCGGATGGAGCCAACCTCGCTGGAACCAACCCACCCCCCCCGGGCTGCTGGGGTGACAATTGTCCTCTATGAAACAGCTCAGAGCGGGCAAACACCCGGGAAGGAGAAGATTTTAAGCTAAAGGATGAGTCTGTCACGAGAGGAAGAGTATTGGGCTGCTCAGAACGGCAGTGGTGTGACAAGGGACAGTGCCCTCCGCTGCGAGGCCAGCCAGATGCGGCAGTATCAGCCACAAAACCCCTTTAGTTCCGTGATGCGTTTCCCAAATAAATTCTAGGACACGAAGTCCATGACAGCAGAAGACAGGACTTGAAAATCCTGGAAACCCCCTTCTGCATTTTCCCCGCTCTGCTGAAAGGCGCGGAATCTGACAGCCCATCTCGAATTTTACGTCGGCCGAACATCAAGGCAGGCACTGAAGAGGCCATCAAGAGCTCACAAGGGTGAGGATCGGTTTATTCTTTTCGAAGTGGGCACGCAAAACCAACAAGACCACCAGCCTTCCCGTCCAGCCTTCTCCAAGACCTTCTTCAAGACCTCCACATGTTAACTAGCTCCGGAGAGGAAGCTCCTCTATCACCCGGCACACCCAGCTCTGATACACCCCGAGCATCAACAGTGCTTTAATTAAAAAATAGAATTTAAAATCCTGTCTTTAGCCTGGCAGTTGCTGTCGTACCCGAGCGCCACGTTCAAGATGCACAGCCACGAACACGCCGCAGCTTTGCCCACTTCAGCTTCTCTTTCGCCAGCAAATACATCATAAAAGCCACGAAGGAGCGCGGTAAATGCTGGAGCGACGGCAGAAACCCGCCCTCACGGGTGGAAATAGGTGAGGTTCGGGGCAGAGGACGTGCTGGCCCAACTGCAGACGGCACAGCCCGTTCCCCGAAGAAACGCCGTGAAAGAGGCGCTTTGTCAGACGGGCTTCAACCAAACGCCGTTCCCCAAACGCTCATCGGAGCCTTTTCTTCTCCGACTGCATCTTTCCGTCGCTGAATTCTCACAGCTGCTGGGTTCAGAGGGCTTTAGCCTGGAGGTTAACCACAGAAAATCCCCTGGAAGCTCGGACAAAGTAGGGAGTAGCCTGGCAGAGACACTCACCTGAACGTCCTGCATCCCTACGAGGCAGAGCGCTGGCGCTTCTTGCCGTAGGAGATTTGCCTGATTCGGGCTTCAAGTTGGAAGGCGTCCAGTCTTTCCTTGGGGTTAAAAGCCAGCATGTCACGCAGGAGCTTGCAGAGATCATCCGGCATGGACTTCTTGTTCTTCAGGGGAATCTGTAGTTTCATGTTGGGGTTCTCCAGCAACGCTTCTCCGAGGGGAATAAGCTCCTTGCCTTGGCAGATGTACGTTCCTGAACACAGAGGAGGAACAGTCGGGTTAAACAGGCAGAGAAAAGGCTACACCAACCGCCGTCACGCCAGCCGTCTGGGCAAGGCGGCGTCGGAAAGGTCGCCAAGAGGCGACCGCCAAGCCAAATCTTGGGAGAGGCTGTTATCAGAAGAGGCTTTTCCTTTCAAACAGTCACCAAGGGGTCGCGTGAGCCTGAGCACGGCAAGCAGCTCCGCGGCCCGTCTGCGGAGAAAAGGGGCTGCAGGAACGAACCGCCTCCGTTCCGCCCCACCAGCGGGCTCCAGGAGAGGGAGGGAGGCTGCGCTCGGCTGAGGTGACTTGAAAACGTTAAAAACACAACTTATTTGCTCAATCGGTCAGTTTTCAGTCAAAACAACAGCGTCTCCTGTTTACCCTCGGCCAGATTAAGGAAGGGAAACGTAAATTTACTCCCAGGAATCGAAATCATTTCACCGGTTGTTGAAAATGATTAAACCGGCTTCCGAAATGGGCAGTAAAACCCGCTTGGCTCCCTCCAGCTGTTCTGCCCCTGCCCCAAGCGGGGACAAAGGGGTCAGAGGCGGGGACCTGTCTGCGTCCAGGAAGGGCTGCCCTTGCAAACCCCTTGTCTCGCGCTGGCGGGCAGCGGCTGGAACGAAATCGGCTCGTGCGGCGGCCGTTTGCTGGGTTCTGTAGGCGGGAACTACGACATCTATCAATGTTTGGCATTTTGACAAGAAATAAGTAATAGAATTGGAACTGAGCCTCCTCGGAAGATGGGAAAAAACCCTACATTCAATTAAAGGGGCAGCGCAATAGCTCCTCAAAGTGCCTCTGCAGAAATGCCCTCCAAGGATTTAAACGTTTAAAGACAGACAGACGGACATGCTGTGATGCCAGAGCCTGGGCAGACACCTTCAGTTACGATGTTAATGTGCCTGACGGGCTTTCTCTCCTCTCAAAATCAATTTTCCAAAATATATTTTTGTGAAATCGTTTAGTACCGAGTATTTCAAGCGTGTATCTACGCGGGGGATTCGGAGGGAGGAGGAGGCAGGGAGAGGGCAGGCCCTCGGACGAGGCATCCCTGCAAGCCCTCGTGTCTCTCCACTGGGAGGAAACTCAGCCAGATGGTGGTGGAGCTTATCTAAATATCCTCTCCCCGCTTATGATTTGGCTCCTTGGAACATCCCTTTCAGGGCTGCGAGCGAGCCCGTCCCTCGGTTGTGGCAAGTCAAGGATACAAGCGAACCCGTAAGCCCAATTCCAGGAAGGTTTTGGTTTAGAAGAGCATCACAAGCGTTTCTGGAGGTGTGTATCTGTCATGGGCATAGCTGTAGGGCAGATGCCTCACCACCAGCTACGAGATTATTTTCCCTTTTACAATTCTTTAGCGACCACGAGGGCCAAATCCATTTCCGAAGAGCTTTCCTCAGGGTGAGGAAGGCCTGACAGCAGAGAAGCCAAAGCGACCTTTCCCTTAACCTTTCAATCCCGCAGAGTATTTTTTGGAAAAAAAAACCTGGCAGAAGGAAGAATCTTCCAAACCAAACAATTTGTAACTACAAAAAGCATTCCCTCCGCCTTAGCGGTACGTCTTCAAGACCCAGAAACCCTGGAGGAGAAGCGACCAAATTAGGAGCAAAGCGTGCTGAAGGGGAAAAAAAAAAAGAGATTTCTTTGCAGTGCTCTTAAAAACAAACCCCCACCCCCCCAAAAAAGCCCCAGTTTTGTGTTTCTTCGGGTTGCAAGGCGCTCACAAAGCACACGTGCCACGGCGCCTGTACCCACGCGCAGGAGAACGCCCCTTCGGGGATCCCTACGGATCCAGAAGGTCCGCTGACAGCAGGACAGCACCGATCTGATCCTCACCGAGCAGTTCCTTCTCAGTATCCCCGTCTCGGAAGGTGATCCTCTCGACCATAGCCCAGAAGATGATCCCCAGGGCAAAGATGTCGGCCTTCGCGGTGTAGTGACCTTCCCACACTTCGGGGGCCATGTAGAAGTTGGAGCCGCAGGCGGAGGAGAAGCGGTGCTGGTTCACGTTCCCTTTCCCCTGACACACCTTGCTGAGGCCAAAATCCGCTACCTGCCACGCCACAAAAGAGGAGACCGGTTAGTCACAACCCCCCGCCCCGGCCAAGTTTCCGAGCGTGGTTACGCACCGCGGCTCAGCCAATCCCGCTCCGAAGTCCCCCGCGGCGCGGCACCGACCCCCTCATTTTTAGGGCCCGAAGAGACATTTTTACGGCCCAAAGCCTCACTTCTAGGGATCAAAGCCTCATTTTAGGGTCCGGAGTCTCCTTTTGGGCTCCAAAACCTCCTTTTTATGGCCCAAAGGCTCCCTTTCAGGCTGCAGACTCTCCTTTTTAGAGCCCAAAGCTGCATTTTTAGTTTCCAAAGTCTTATTTTCAAGCTCCACAGCAACATACTTAAAATCCAGTCGGTCGTTCCAGGGGTCCAAGCCGTATCTTAAGTGCCCAAGCTCTCATTTTTGTGGTCCACACTTCCAGTTTAGGGCCCAAAGCCTCGTTTCTAGGACACAAGCCCTCCTCTCTAAGTTCCACAGCTCCCTTCTAAGGTCCAAAGCCTCATTTCAAGGGCCCAGAGCATCATTTTGAAGGCCCAGAGCCCGAATTTGAAGGCCCAAAGCCTCATGTTTAAAGTCCAAACCCTCACATATAGGGCCCAAGCCCATCTTTCATTAACAAGCAGCCTTTTGTTAGGACACACACATTCATTTTTAGGGTCTAAACCCTCACTTTTATGGCAGAAAACCTCAGACGAAGAGCGGGTTATTTCCCGGCAGCTGCCCATTCCCTGGCTCCTTCCCTGTGGTTTGCTCCCCTTCCCAAGACGGGCACAACAGGTCCTGGGTTGTTATCTGCCTGTGAAGCCCACTGATCCCACCTCACCGGGTGTAATCCCACCTTGAACACCACCTGCTGCAGAAGTGGCTCTCGCTGTGCCACGGCGAGCGCACGGGATCTCTCGCATCACCGTTATTACCCAGAGTGATCAAGGTGACAACGATCTGAGCGTCCCTTGACGCTACAGGCCGACATTATTGATCCATGAACTGCCCGAACGGGCCAACCTACTGTTTTACATCAAACTCTCGGCAGGGAGAGCTCAGGAGCGAGGTGGCTCCCAGCTCCTGGGAGAGCTGGGGCAGCCCCTCCGCCGGGTGCCGCGAGGCAGCTGCAGCCCAGTCTTTACCAGCACCGACACGAAGCGGGAGGACGTTCCCCACCTCCCCTGAACATCAGCGCGCGCTCGAGGCAGCAGCACTGGAAGCGCCAGCTGGTGTGACAGGGCAGCAGGGAGCCTAAGGGAAGAGAAAATACTGGTGCTCTCAGAGTGTAAGGGAAGAGAAAATATCATTTCATCTTCGGCCGATGGTGATCTCCGATTATGTGGCGTGAAGTTAGACAGCCCTGAGGAGAAGCAGTGGATGAAGAACGTTACAGGCACATCGTGACATCTACTTCCTTCCAAGACTCCTAAAAAAAAAAACCCCACAACTGCTACCAGAAGTTCTGAGCGCGCTTACCGCAAGGATCACCAGCCTCACCAAAAGCCCGTGGCGCACCAAATCACGCCTGGTCGCGGCCCTGTCGCAGTTTTATTCCCTTACCTTTACTACGGGGCTGCCCCGCCTGTGAGAGATCAAAATATTGTCGGATTTGAGGTCTCGGTGCACAATCTGGTTCCTGTGCAGGAAAGCCACGGCACTGCTGAGCTGCCGCATGAAGCTGTGATTCAGCTGAGCGTCGGGGCTGCGGGCGAGCAGGTACTCGTTCATGTTGCCCCCGTCACAGAACTCCATCACGAACCAGAGGAAGCAGGCCGAGCGGGGGTCCATGCACCTCCGCCCCTTCAGGCAGGTCTCGATGAGCAGCAGGTGGCTGTCGGACTTCCCGTAGCGGTGGCTGATGGGTTGGAAGGCTCGGCCGTTCTGCAGGATGCACTCCTCCAGCTGGATCACGTTCTCGTGTTGCCTCTGGATGCTCTGCAGGGCCCAGAACTCCTGCAGAGCCAGCTCGACGTTTTCGGGCACGTTACAGTGCATCCGTTTCACAGCCACTTTGGTGCCAGTTCGGTTGAGGACGGCTTCGTAAACCACCCCGTAGCTCCCCCGGCCCACTTCGCGGACAATGCTGTACTTGGCTTCCGCAGCCATCCCTCGCTCGCGGCCCCGGCACGTCAGAGGAAACCGTTGGAACTCATGGCAATCCCGCCGTCACCTGCG